GCAAATTTTTGTCAATGTATTTTCGGTTTTATATATTAACGATTGAGTTGAAAACCTAATGAAGAAGTCTGGCCAACAGTAGTTTGACCTGCTGCCCATTGTACTATATAAAAACCTATTGTGGTGGCATGGAGGTAAAGGCGTCCGCTTCTCATATATACTACAGGGTGCGGAGTCGAAACGTCGCGACGATTTTCCGAGTTATACGTACCTACTAAGATTAGACACCACTGACCAACGGTGAAGGAAAACATCGTGAGGAAACCTGGACTTATAATTTATAATTGTAAGTTTGAAAGTATTGAGCAAGCGTGGCGATTAATCCTCAAACCTTCTTGTGATAAGAGGCCTTTGGTCAGCAGTGGCAGATAGGTCGTTATTATATTACTAACTAAATAATACAGATTTCAGATCGGATAAAAAATCAAAGGAGTCTCTGCTATCGTTTGTAGACAAACATTTGAAGCCAAATCTGACGTTTGGCTGCTTCAAAAAAGACACGAACGAACTAATTGGAGTTGATGTGATGTATATACGGAACATAAATGATAATGATGTCAACTACGGCCCTGTAAGTATTTATTAAATTTTATGTTATTACTAACTACTACCCGCGGTTTCACCCACCATGTTCTCGTGGGATAAAAACTAGCCTATGTGCTCCCCTTTTTTTGAAGGGCGTAAATCATCCAATGACTGCTCCCGCCTGGGTGATGCGGGATGTGTCAGACTTTTACTGACTGAAAACCACCTGGTTCCTACTCCTGCTCTTCAAGCCGGAGCCCCGGCAACTCGTTAAGTCCTCCGTGGCTACGTGTCGGCATCAGCCCTATTGGGTATAATCTATCCCTACTAAGCTATCCTGTGACTGTCAATTCGAACTTTTAAAGCAACAATTTGTAGACCACACAAAGAATTGTTCCCTGCAGGAATCGAATCGCGGTTGCTGGTTGCCCAACCTGGTGGCTCCGTAAACCGTGCAGTCAATGGCGCCAATATTTTTGCTCACTAGGTGGCGCTAGTGTGAAAACTTTTTTTTTCGTCAAATAGGGAACTAGTTAGTCTCATACCATTAGACGTTCAATATTTGGCAACTGCTGTAATTGGACAAAATAACCTCGTCATACATTTGCGCCGTGTGGCGAGCAAATAAACGTTGGTCCACAATTATTTTGATTCATATTTCAGGAGTACGGGGAAACGTTCTGTAAATACATGAAGTACTTGAAGTTTGTGGAGAGACGGCTACGATACAATGTTGCTGAGAAATATGTGAAATACCTCACTTCACTTGGATTGTTCATATTGCCGAAATATCGGGAGACTGATATTGAAAAATACATGCTGCGTATTCGGTAACACAAATTTACTTTTTCATACTAGTGCTACTTACTCCCGCGCTATATCACCCGCTCTGCTCGTCTCCTATTGATCTGAGCGTGATATTTTATGCCATTAAAATTATTAACTGATCAACCAGTCCTTTGAAGAAGGAACTTTTCCAGACTTATTAAAAAAAACTTTAATAAAACCTATTCACAAAAAAAAACTCTAAATCGGACCAAAATAACTATCGACCCATAGCGCTATTACCAACTGCTTCTAAAATCTTTGAAAAGATTATGTGTGACCGAGTCTATTCTTTTTTCGAAAAATATAAACTCCTTGATGACAGTCAGAACGATTTCCGTAAAAATAAATCCACAACCCTAGCAGTCTATAAATACGTCCAAGAGGCTCTAAACATAATAAATAATAAAAACTATGCCATAGGTATACTGCTGGATATGACGAAAGCCTACGATAAGGTGCAATTTAAAATATTGTTAAACAAGCTGTACGGACTAGGAATACGAGGAAAGGCTCACGATTGGTTTACATCATATTTAAAAGATCGAAAACAAATGGTAGAAATAGAATATTATAATAACAACACAAGAGAAATAGAAATAGTAAGATCCAACGATAAACAAATGACAGCATCTATTCCTCAAGGAAGCGTTATAGGTTGCCTGCTGTTTCTTATCTACATAAATGACCTACCAAAATCAATTACCGGCCCTTGCGTATTGTTCGCGGATGACATATCCTTACTCACCGAATGTAAAAACAACATAAATATAAATGACAAACTTTGCACTCTTCTCTCTCAAGTAAATAATTGGATGTATAGCCATAACCTAGAAATAAACTACACAAAAACTAAAATAATAACTTTCGATCCCCACCAAAAACACCACCTTGATATTAATTTCAACTTTAAAGGAACAAATCTTGAACAGGTAAACGACTTTACGCTTCTCGGATTAACTATAGATACACACCTAAACTGGAAGTCCCATACGCAAAAAATACGAGCAAAGCTCTCAAGGTTTTCTTATGCCTTACGCGAATTCAAAAAGACAACAAACTTACAGACCGCTCTAATAACTTACCATGCATACGCGCAAGCCTGGCTTAACTACGGTATAATGTTATGGGGAAATAGCACGGATTCATACACAGTATTTACTTTGCAGAAAAAACTAATCCGAATAATGGCAAATATCGAACAAACTGACAGCTGCAAACCATACTTCCAAAAATATAAAATACTTACCCTTACCAGCCTATATATCCTGGAGATATGTAAATTTGTTCGAAAATACCCAGAGTTTTACACTTCCCGCGATCAGAAGCAAACCAACTACTCATTACGCCACAAAAACAGATTGAACCTACCCACATCTAGACTAAAAATTTACCATTCTGGCCCTCTGGTAATGTCTATAAAGATATACAATAAACTGCCAAGGGAAATTGTAGAGGTAGAAAAAACCAATATATTTGCATCGATACTAAAAAAATATTTAATAGATAAATGCTATTACACTCTTAAAGACTTTTTTGATGACAGTATAATTTCTAAATAATTCTTAATGTTAATACAAATTTTGTTAACTGTACTGTAATTTTAATATTGTGTGGAATTTGTTAATTTGTTAATTAATAATAATAATTGGTCTCTTGTTTTTTGTTCGTATAAATTATATCAAAATGCTCTAATATCGTTTATGTAATGTATTGTGACTCTGTAATGCTAGTTTGTAGTTTTTTTTTTGTATTAAAATTATATTTTTCCTTGCTGTGCCCGACAGGGTCCACAATGAACTGTATTATTCTATGTTACCACCTAAATAAAACATTGTGGAACGCAATAAAGAATTTGAAGAATTTGAATTAACTACATTTGAACCAGTAGTTCCCTAGACTGCCTCGTTGGCCGAGTGCTCGCAAGTGCGACTGCCGGGTGGGTCTCGGGTTCGATTCCCGGGTTTTGAGATTTTTTCGTCAATCACGGGGTCTGGAATTATGTAATAGGGGGTGAGTCTATTGCCATACTTATACCGGTATATGGCAATAGACTCACCCCCTATTATATATATAATATATATATACATGGGACTCATAACATAAATAGTGACAAGTGGGTGTTACATTGTTCAGTGGCATTAAGTTCTGCTGTAATGTGCACCTATACGGTATAGGTGCTGGATAAATAACCTAAACATTTACTGCAGCACAATCTGCCGGGCTGATTTGTGAATCTAATCCATTCCCAGACCCCCTTGAACACACACAAAAAATTTCATCAAAATCGGTCCAGTCGTTTGAGAGAAGTTCAGTGACATACACACTCACAGAAGAATTATATATATATAAAGATATAAATACAGCTATAAAGATTTAAATACGGCTGATGCCGATACGGAGCCGCGGAAAACTTAACGGGTTGCCGGGGCTCCGGCTCAAAGTGCAGGAGTAGGAACGGGGTGGATTTTAATTAGTAAGAGTCTGAGGCTCCCCCTCGCCTCACCCAGGTGGGAGAAGTCATTGGATGATTTTCCCTCCACAAAAAAAAAGGTTTTCTCACGTTGTGTTCCTTCAACTTTTTGTCAGTGGTGTCGAAATAATCTTAGAAAGTACATATAGCTTGGTAAAAGTCACATTGGTACTTGCCGTTGGTAGGTTTCGAGCCCGCACTCTCATGCATGTGAAGCGGGCATCTTAACCTCCGGGCCACCACGTCACAAAAGGGAAATGTTTATTAGTGTCATATTTTTTTCTTTTAATTTCCAGAAAAAATGTTGCTTCAAATCATGGTATCGTGGTAAACGGAGCTGCTCTGATAGGGAAGAAAATTAAAAAAATTGCCAAGGAATTGAAGTACAAAGTAATTGAAGAAATCAGAGAAGTTAATGTGGAGGGTACAGACTTGGAGTATCTCAGGGGAGCTGCTGTGTTTCCTATTAAAATTGTAGCAATGACGAAATTTGGTCCGAAACCGAAATCTAAACCTGTTCCTTCGAAAAGAGCAAAGCGATCATCATCATCATCATCATCATCATCATCATCATCATCATCATCAGCCAAAAGACGGCCACCGATGGACATATGCCTTCCGAACGACTACAATAAGCAAGACAATGATGACCTAGAGATTCTCTAAGACTGCACGGCCGGTGCGTTGGTTGGGCATCCGGCAACGTGTAGCGGGTCTGATTCCCGCTCGGAGCAGCTCTTTATGGGATCCACAAATTGGGTACCTACTTGCCAACTAGTCAAATTCAATACTTTTTTCTAACTGTCAAAAACGACAGTTTTCTATGAATTTTGTACGAGATTGTGTATAGTGACGTCACGTTTTTATAACGTCAATTTTTAAAAATTACTAAAATGAAGTTGGTCATAAAATCAATTAATGAAAGTGCGATTATTTTTTTAATATTTTATTGTATTGAACAGTCGAAACATTTTATTTCTGATTAAGGAAAGTACCAACTGTTGTTCCAAGTCTGGATGTAATGTGTTTGTGAATTTTTATATTTGTAAATGCACCCACGATACAGGAGGAAATCCTAGTGTGGGGCAACATTTTTTCGTGTACCCTGTGATAAATATACACGGACCGCTATTGCAGACGGAGTCAACAGCTTGAAGCTGCCATTGATAACTACTCGAGCAGTCATCAATCTTAGAGCCAACTGTTCAATCATCAGTTATTTTTTTACTGAGAATATAATTGACATTTGACAGTTTTTAGTATGGCAGTAGTTATTCCTCAGTTAAGAATTAACTGATGATTGAAAAACCGACTTTTAATGTTTACGAAAAATGACATGCTTAAATGACAGCTCGAGCAGTCTCTGCCTGGCGACTGCTTGACTACGATCAAACGGATAAATGTTTTATCATACGTGATATGAAATGAAAAAATTAAATGAAATGAAATAACGAAATAATTAAATGTAATGATATTTATTTCTGCAAATTGGTTACAAAGTAACACACGACAATATTTAAATTACTAGATGCAGGCCGTCATTTCCTAACTGACTGCTCTGAGAAGAAACGCCGAAACAAACTTCGAGGGCAGCGTTTTTTTTTAAAAAAGAAAAGAAAGAAATAGAGGTCATCGTATCTTTTAAAGTCCAGATGGTATAGGAGCTAGCAACGTTTTCGAGAAAGAATTTTAGGTCAGCTGATTTTGTGATATGTCGTCCTTCTTGCACTTTCGGTTAGCGTCTGGGCTATCTGGCTGGCGGTAGCGGTTGCGTTCTTTAGTGCGCATCCTACCTGTCCAGGTAATAATTCTGGATTTTAAAAACATTTTAGAAGGCGTAATTTTTAATTTTTTGTTTTTAAATAAGTCTACCTGAAATACTTTTTTTATTGCCAGACATTTTTGACAATGCTAACTATGTGCCAGACGCGATTTTATGTTTTTATTTTATTAAAATTTCAAAGTATTTTATAATGTCTGTAATTTTAATATTATGTTATTTAAAGATAAAAAAAACTTAACATAAATTTGCCAGACATTAATTCGATTGTTAAGTCTTGAATTAAGATAAAATAAAAACTGCGTTTAAAAAACCGACTTCAAAAAACCAAAAACTAATAACAAACAAAAAGTCAAAACTAAAAAGCAAAAAATAACTATTATTAGTACTGATAGGTTACCCACCCACTGATAGGTTAGAAGTCGGTGCCATAAGCTCATATCATAATGATATAACTTAATGCCCACAAAATTGTGAATTAGGTACCTATTAAGGTTTTAATGAATAATTTTGTATGGAACTTATGGCACCGACTTTTGACTTTTTGTTTGTTATTAGTTTTTGGTTTTTTGAAGTCGGTTTTTTAAACGCAGTTTTTATTTTAT